TGCCTTCAAATATATAGCAAATACCTCAATATGTTGCCGATTTTTTACTTTTACCAAGTATCTCAATTATTTTGAGGCATCTGAATGAAAGATATGTTTTCAATAGCACCGTATGAATGCCAGGTTCGTAATTTAATTCATTTGGAAACTCAGTTGTCGGATCAGGATGAAAACTCAATGAACGGATGCAAATAATGACGGAAGCGCAATGAATGTACAGACTCCCAAGAACGACGATTATGTCTTCGGAATGGTGATGGACACATCGCATATTCTTGGGTTCGGTGTCTGTATTTCACTATATTGGGCGCATCCCAAATACCATAATATTGCCATTATGTGGCTGCAGCAGCCAACAGTTCTTGAACCACTTTCACAGGTACAGAACCACTGTCGTATTACATCTACCCCTGCTTTAGCTTTATCAGCAAGGATAAAAATGTGATGATGTTTATCACTGCGGTAGCGCGATTTCATGTATGCCTTGACGAGTAATGGCTCTGTAACCTGGATACCTCATTTCCCGAAGTCTAAACCTGCTGTTCTGTTTCACTGGTTGTTCAAACTTATGTACTAGAAAAATGCCTTCATTTTCATGCTCAGCGTAATATGACATTGCATTGTTGATCTGATAAGGCCCAAGACTTAGCTGATATAAATAATCCGAAGAAAGTTTGGGAAACTCTAATTGCTCGTTGTTCATGTCATTATCTAGTAAAGTATATTCAAGATCTATGTAAGCTTTCTTCACCTGATGTCTTCACCTTTCACTTGGATTACGTTTTAAAATCAGATAATTATTGGAAGTATCCTTTTTTTAAACTTATTTTATAATGGAATGTTAAGAGAAACTTAAATAAAATTGGTAACAGTGTCATTTTGATTCCAGTTTTCACCTAGGATTGACAAAAGTCTTCCACATTTCTTTGCCTCACAATATTACGTATCGACGATTGTTCTATTTTGTCTTCAATAAAATAACAACAGAAAATAGACATTTTCCCAGGTAAAAGTTGAAAACTTTGCAACACTGTATCATCGTATCCTTTTATAAATTATACTATGCATCTACGAGTATCACTAATTGTTGATTCTATGCCCCAAAATACAGTTGGATCTTCAGTATTAGCGGTTTGTGGATGAGAAACTTTAAAAAATGAGCATTTTAAAGCTGAAAAATGTAAACTTAGCAACGCTGTACTGCCAAAACAAGGCTTACGCATAAGTCAAAAATCTTACTGAAGACTTTTTATAATATAATTTCTTGTGTGCGCTTTGTGTAAGTATTGTAAAGTCTCTTTTGAAGTTGGTTTTTGGAAGAAAATCCATAAAAATATGAGAATTTCAAAGCTCAAATACGTCAACTTTGCAACGCTGTGTCTCGGAAACAAGACATATACTCAAGCTAAAATTTTTACTGGAGGCTTGTCTCATCATAAGGTTTCATTTAAGCCACATACGAATGAAATCCCCGGGTTCCCGAAAAGGGGCCATTTTTAGGGAGGCTCTTTTTAAACGTCGCATGGCGCTTATGATACTTTCGCCAGAAGGTGACGCGGTCTCCCCTGTGTGACAAAACAACACTGTTAAAAATCGAGGAGTGAAATTCGGTGCTGGAGTCGATATAAACCTCGAGACTAAGAGGGTAAATGATGGATTAACTGTAGGGTCTCTCATGGGTCGCCGTTAGTTAGTCTATTACCTACCTCCTATGTCCATTGCAACCACCCACTTCCACCAGTAGGATCCCTCCATAACTCTTTTGTCTTCTTCGTCTATGACTTTGTGAATCAACTACAACGATCAACCCGCTGAATTGAAAAGGTACCGCGTGAGCAATATCAGTTGTCCACGGATGAGAAAAAGAGAAATGGCGCGAAAAAAAGGAAGGCTCCACAGTTGACACGGAAGAGAGATTACCGTCGATTTGGGTCCTTGGAGGGATGAAGACTACTTGAAAATTCGTTCAATTATTAAGGAACAGAGCTTCCTGTTTTCGCACGGATCGGACCCTCAGTACCTATACACAACTTATTTTTCACTCGTCGCGAGTCGCGAGTCTCGGACTCTCCAGCGCAGCGGAGCGCGCCAAAAGGGTGAGGAAATTGAAGCGCTAGATGCTAACAGTACCCTCGTCAGTTGTAGTTCGTCGAGTCTCAGAATCGTTTATTAGAAGGAACCAAATGCAAGTATTTTGTTTCAACTTTTACGCTTTCTTCTTCACGACGAGAGACGATTTATTACTAGGATCCTGCACCTGGACCGCTTCAACACTATATGAGCCCGGGGAGAAATTAAAGTAACGGACATCTGGGGGGGGGGACGCGAGGCAAACCCCCATGCAGCTGGAGAAGGGGGAGTTCAGGGGGGCTTTCCCCGGAAAATTTTCAAGATTGAAGGTACTAGAAGTGCAATTCTAGGGATACTCAGAATCATTGGCGTTTGTACCTGAAAACTCTCGTGATTTTTCCTCTCATGCAAGTATAAGAAAAATTTTGTTCAAAGATTGCGCGGATTCCTTTTTGAAAATATTGATTTGTTTGAGTCAATTGGATTGCATTTTGCAAAAAGGAACGACTAGCATTGCAATGTTGCTAAGATTGTGCAACTTCTTTTGTCTTGGAGGAAAAACCCAATTATCCCTTGATAGTTTCTATTTTGCTCGCTAAAAACTGTACATTTAAGACAAAAATTACCATCTAAATTTCATAGTTCTTCACAATTTCCGCAATTTTATTGCAAAGGATGAAGTTGCACAATCTTAGCACCATTGCAATGCTAGTGGTTCCCTTTTGCAAAATGCAATCCAATTGTTCAACCTCGAAATGGAGTTAAGTTCAGGAAAACACGATATGAGAGATGCATTTTCTGCCTTGAGGCAAATCATGATTTCTCCCGCAAAGGTCTCATCGATGAAAATGCGTGGTAGAGCAGCCAAGAAAAACAACCTCGGTGCTTCCTTCCGCGCTGAATATGAATGTCCCAGATTTTTACATAGGATTTTCATAATGAGATAGTAAAATCAACAACCTATAAATGCCTTTATTTGCCTGTTCAATGTTTGCCTTTCCTTCGTCAAAGAGGAGGGAAGCGCGATCTGACTCCTCAGGGGGCGCGCCACCGATGGGTATTACGTCTTTCCCCTGTTTCTGACACAACATGCTCGAGCAGAAAATTATGAAAGTAACCCTGAAGGCGCGCGGGTAAGGAATATGCAAGTAACTGAAAAGATGAGGAAAGGCGATAACAAAAGGCTCCCTGTAGACATTTCCAACGACTGGCTCCAGTATTCTGAGTTTGAGCAACGTCTTCAACGCAACAAGCTATCCATATTGATTGATGAACTTTTACCGGCGCGGCGTCGAAAGCGGAAGGATAGAATATTCCGGAGGTACCTTCGTCGAGGATAAGACAATAAAGTAAAGGTTATTGGTTTTTGATGCACTCTCAAATTCAATATACCTACTTCTCCCGTGAAACGAAAAATGCGCACGGAGCTGAACAAAAAGGAGGGGCGGCGCTAAGGGCCAACATTTGCCTACTCCCGAGATTCCGGAATTTTTCGATATTTTGCAGTTGATGAAGTATATTTTACTTAGACATTTTTGTTTCGGAGATACTCACACTTTTACGCTTCAATAAGGATGTCCAAAATTGGGTTCGAAGACACGAATCGTTTAAACGGCGTTTTCCAAAACTTCTTGGTTTCCGAGTAATATATTCCCGAAATTTTTGCCGGTTTTTAACTTTGACCCCCCGCCGCGTCTCCCCAAAATTTTTGGGGAGCTTGAAACTTTGGGAAAAGATGGAGCATGGTTTGGTGAATGAATGGGGAAAGTCTCAAAGGTATCCGCCCCGAGCCCCAAATGGCCCGTTTTGCACGTGCCCCTTTAATCGCGCAATTCAATTTTTTACATGAAAACGGTTGTGCGGATTTTCGTGCAAATTTCAGTGAATTTTCTCCATAGTATAAAGCAAATTCTTTAAAATTTCCAAAGAAATCCGCAGAAACGTTCTCACATAATAAAGTAAATTGCCCAGTTAAATTTGGCAATAGCTGATGTGGCTTGGTTCCTTTCTACTTAGCGCGGTCCATAAAAGGTCTGGCTGTGTCACCGTCGATATGTAAAGATGGTCAATCGTCACCTTTGGGCCCAGCATAAAATATGATAAGGAAACATTAGGGGGAAAACCGCGAATTTTCGTGAATTTTGGTCTTCGGATCTATTTGGCCTCCATTGGGAAGCCAAAAAAAGGAAAGAGTAATTTCGGAGCCTAAATATTTCTGTTGTGTATACGTCGGCAACTAAAAAATATTGAAAAATCATTGGGATACTCGTATGAAGCTGGCCCGACAGTAATCACTCAAGATACAAACGTAAATGAATCAGCGAGTTCGAAAACACACCGACTCGGAAAAAAAAATGTTCAGGAAACACCTAAAACTGCGCAGCGGGCGAAGAAGTTACTTTAAGAAAAACCTTTTTGGTGCCAAAGGACAAGTACTTAGAGACTTTGTAAAACACCAAATTGAAATCGATACACCATGTTTGATGACAGAGAATTAAGCGTTTAAAAATTCCCGAGTCTGTGTGTTTTTGTTCTCACAGACTTTCAGATACTGATTTTTCATAGTCTGCCCAGAAAAATGCATATTTTTCGACCTGAATAACGCTTGAATATTTTTAAAAAACTTGTTGGTACAAGGTATACCTACTGAACCGAAAAAAGAAAACCGCAACATCGGATGGTCACCCGTTTCCCTTGAAATGGCCAAAAATTGGTATTTCCAATGAAACACTTCCATTCTTCCCTTTTCCCGTCGCTGTTTCGAGCACTTCCGATTGCAATTTCGAAATTTCCTTTTGCGTGCAGATGCTTCTATCCACAAGTGTTACTAAACTATAAAAAAGTGAAAATCGAAAAAACTCCGAGTTGGTGTGTTTTTGAACTCACTGATTCAAATATGGTTCAAGCTGATATTCGAGCGGAAAACTCACCTTAGATTGCATGATGAGCCTAATTGTGAGCGTGATGCCCGGGTCATTGTTGATTTTGTCCAAGTTGATTTTGTCTAAACTGGGTTCAGACGAGTTCATGTTATCCATTGGGCACGGGGGCTGTTGAACAAGGAATGCAGAAGAGGGGAGGCTGAACAGACAACCGAAGGACGGAGGGAAGGGTAGGTGAGAGATACAATTTCACAAGGTGACCTGCAAGCAAACGAGAAAAAAAAACGAGAATTAATAATGGCAGAGACGAAATCGGATGGATAAAATTAAGCATAGATATAATTTTTCATTGGAACTGGCGGGAGTTGGGGAGAGGAGTGCGAGGATCGGAGCAATGTTGAGACAACCAAAGGAATGGATAATTTAAAACAAAGAGAAGATTTGAATTATCGGTCTTTATGGAAAAATTGAGCCAGTACAAAAAATCAAATCTGTAGGCTGGGGAACGCCTTGAAATTAATTCTAAAATAACTTCAAGATTGAGGAAGTAAGGGATTTTTAAGGTAGTTTTCAAATTTTAGAAAAGTCTAAACACCTTTGCGGTTCGAATTATGATTCTCACCTCACCAATGCGCGTTTTTACCGAAAGCATGGACCAATTCGCCTAACTGGACCACATTTTGCAATTAGAAACTACAATTTCCAGCTAATCACAGATAAAGCTTCATGTGTCATCAGTATCCCAATGTAGATGGGTGTTTTTCAGTATGAGCCAGGAATCGTAGTTCCTAATTGCAAAATGTAGTCCAATTTTAAACTGTGTTTCATCTAGCTGCATGAGGCCATCGTAAGTTGCCAACGGGCTGCTTATTGAAATTTACAGACATAGCTATAGACAAATAAGAAAAAAAGAAAAATGGAGCGATCCTCTTGGTGGAATCAAGTAGTAATGGATAAAGGAGGCAAATAATAGACTAATTAACGGCAACCCACGAGAGATCCTGTAGTTAGACAATAATTTCCCCTCTAAAATTTCTCGATTTTCTCCTTATCTTCTTTGTCTAACACTTTGCCTTTCAATTTCAATAATGAGCCCGGGGACTCCCTAGATTTCGTTGGTTCATTCAAAAAATTCTCTAATTTTCCCTTAAATATTCCGAGGTCTTGAAACATCATTTCACTCCTAGAATTTTCCAGATTTGTCTATCACTTTGTCTATCAATAACAATAATCAGCCCGTAGACTCCCTAGATTTCCTTGGTTCATTCAAGACATACCCTGATTCCCCCTCAAGTATTCCGCACTGGAAAAAAAAANAAAAAAAAAAAAAACCACACATTTGATCTAGAGTCCGGACTCTTAAAAACATCGACAAGAAAACATACTCTTGATTCAATCAGATTTAAGCTTAAATCAAGAACCAAGCCTCTTAATTTGAGCGGATTTATTTTTGATTTAAGCTTAAATCTGATTGAATCAAGAGTATGTTTTCTTGTCAATGTTTTCAAGAGTCCGGACTCTAGATCCAATGTGTTTTTTTTCCAGTGCGAGGTTTTCAAACATCATTTAGCTCCTCGTATTTTCCAGATTTCCCGTGTCTGCAGCAACTCCGACGCCAGTGCTCTCACTGTATTTGGGCTTTCTGTATGAGCAGGCAGTCTTTTATACGTGGGGGAGGGGACTTCTCCACCGCGACAAAAGCACAACTGAGTAATTCTTAAGCACAACGGCTCCGAGTCCAGGCTCCGAGATATCCCGCGGAATAAAGCCGTGAAAAAAGGTTGCGAGGGAGAATAACAAAAGGTGCGCTAAATTGGAAGGGTTGATCCCTCGGCGTCTTGTTGTCTTACGACCGGGAGCTGTCCTAATCCCGCGGATAAAGGCTCCTATGATCCGGATCATTCCGTGAGAGCCCCCGGACTCCCGCGAGCAGCTCTCGGCAAAACCGGTTGGCCTCCTGGCGAAGCGCCTTCTCGATGAAGAAACCTGTGTCTGTGTGAGGGATCGAGAAAAATAGGGCAGTGGACGAACGCGAATTGAAAGATACTGAATTTTCACGCGGAAAATAAGTTTTAAGCCGGATAAAGATTTCACTACTTAGAATTTGAGATTAAGATTCGTTTCAACCAAAGCTTGATTTTCTCCGTGTACAACTCCGAGAGTCCAAGCCGAATAGGTCTACGCGCGTTGTGAGTACGATGGCAGATCAGAGGTCTTCAGTTTCGAATCGAGAGTAAGGAAAAATCAGGCTGGTGGATTCTTTTCTTCTTTTATTGGGGAAATTAATTTGGCTACTATTCTTTTACTATAAAGTAAGTTAGGAATCTATAGTCATCTGTGGGTACACT